ATCAGGTTGTTCTGTAACATTTACACATAGTTTCCTCTCTTCCATCGGTTTTAAACTGATAATAAATATGATTAATTTATAAAATAAATCGTCTGTGTTTTTATTATGTATATCTCAGTGAATTAATGTGTTCTAAATCAGCGGTCCCCAACCTTTTTTGCACCACGGACCGCTATATGTCAGACAATATTTTCAGGGACCGGCCGGGGGGGTTAAATACGATCAAGTAAAATGATACGACTGGCATAAAATCAAATACAAATGGCATAAAAATAAAACAACAAACTGGTCCCATCTAGGTGTAATCGGAGAAAATGACAGACGAAGTGTGCTCCTGATGTCCAGTCTGCTCCGTAGCTTTGTTTTAGTCGCTGTAACCGCAGAAAATCCCGCTTCACAAAGATAGGATGTTAAAGATATGATGAGTCTTGAAATGAATTAAGCTGTGTCAAGAGGCACAGATGCATCGACTGATGTAATTAGGAGAGAATTGCGCAATTTTGTATATTTTTCAAAATAAAACATCACACAGACTCTGAGCGTCGATAAATTATATATATATATTCATATACATATATATACAAGTTGAGGAAAGCAGGATAATCCCAAGTGTTGAAGACATGCTTGATAGTCAGAGCCAGGATATCAGAGGTCCGAGGAGAAGAAAAACATAAAACAAAATTATCTGAATCATATAGGGGATTAGTAAAGTATGGACGGTATATATTAAGAAATGATCTATTAATCAACTAATAGAAAGTAATATATTAGACAGATTGATAAATCTACAGTATCTCCTCCAGCCTCTATAAGGATCGTTGCATCTTCATCATCTTAAAGAGCAATCCTGCCAGTTCCAACTGTGGGTCCGTGGACCTTCCTTGGATCCTTGCACAGATCCCAGCAAGTAACTGTTCTCTTTAATCCTGTATCATTTATCAGTCCTTCTTCTTCACCAGTTCCCAGTTTAACTCCCCTCTCCAGAGTACAGCCCTGACCCGAACTCAGTCCTTTATGTCTACATGCCAAAAGTATTTTAAAGAATAAATCACTGTTGCTCTAGGTCCAATCTTAATTCAGCATGACACAAGGCATTTTTGTTTTTGCTTATCACACTTCAATAACAAGGCAATTCAAAGTGCTGTATAGGAGCAGATC